TTTTTTTGGAGTGTGTGTGGTGTTGAATGAGAGGCAGCTGGGGCCTCTCCCGGACCCTCAGTCTCCTGGGTTTTTTTTGTGCCTCAGTTTCCCCATCTGGGCTCACCATTGCAGCCTAGGAGGCTGGTGGGAGAGAGACTTGGTTTAAGGAATTATTTTAACTTTATTTAACTTTGACCAAAGAGGGACAGAGTGAAAGTGAGAGAAAGAGAGAGAGAAAGTGAGAAAGTGGGACCAGCAGTTAGCGTCATGGCTATGTCGCTGGACTCCCATGCAGTCGACTGTGGTTCAAGTTCCGGACCTGGTGGCTTAAACTCACGCCGGGCGCGTGTGCGTGCGTCCCCAAGATCCCGAGAGGAGAATGGAGGAGAAGGGATTGCGGCGTGACCATCCCCCCTGGGGGGTGATTTCTCGCTTTCTGTCTCTCTGTCTCTCTCTGTCTTTCTGGCGAGCGCACACGCTCTATAGCCAAAACCTCTACAAAAAAAAAGAGAAAGCAAGTCGCCAGGTTTGGGACTCAAAAGCCACAATCCTCCTCCAGGGATTTTGTTTGTTTGTTTGTTTAAACTTTATTTATTTATTTGAGTCGATCAGCGAGGGACAGAGTGTGTGAGACAGAGTGGAGAAAGAGAGAGGGGAAGCGAGAAAGCAAACCGTCAGGTCTGGGACTCAAACTGCGGTTGGCTATGTGGGGAGTCCAGTGCCCTTAACCTCCACGCCACCCGCCGACCCCAACGGGATCTTGGGCACGCACGCACACGTGACCAGTGTGTTTGAAGATTCCAGGTCTGGGACTTGAACCGCTGTTGGCTCTGTGGGAGTCCAGTGAAGTCACCACTACACCATGTGGTCCCGAGAATTTTTGATTTTGTGAAAAAGACTTATAACTGGGGTCAGCTGGTGGCATCTGGTTAAGGCAGTTGGATCCCCCAGGGCGATCACTTGGTTCGAGTCCCAGATCCGGCGGCTTGGGGGACATGCATGTAAGTGCTGCAAATCTTGAAAGGAGGGAGGGATGGAGGAAGAAGGGGTTGCGGTGGGATCATGCCCCATGGGGCGGGGGGGTGCACCCTCTCCTTCCTCCTCCTCTCTCTCTCTCTGGCAAGCACGTGTGCCCTCTGGCAAAATTTTTAAAGCAACAAAAAACTTATAATGTTATAAAGTCCAAACAGGAGCTCCCGGTCAAAGGCAAGAGAGAACAATGGAGTCAAATCAGAGTGCAGAGGTAAAAAGAACCAGGGGACCAGCAGGCGGGTGTCGTGGTTACAACGCTGGATCCCTCCTGACTGACTCCGTGGTTCGAGTCTTGGATTCGAACCGCCGTCGACTCCATGAGAGTCCAGCGACATAGCCATTATGCCCACGGCTGGTCCCAAAATCAGACAATTCTTTAAAGAAATAAGAGATCACTTTTTCTGCATCTGAGGAACTCCTACTCATTCTTCAAAACCCTACTCAAAAAGCCCTGCCTCCAGGAAGCCTTCTGTCAACTTTACGATTTCAGGCTGAATAGATTGTTCCCAAGCCCCATTCCACTCTCTGGCCCAGAGCTGAAGCCCACAGCACTAAATGCTTCAGGGTCTCATTTTGTCTCCCCCAGAATGGGGAGTCCTTTGGAGCAGGGATGAGTCTACTCTGGGTCTAGTCCCTTGGCTCAGCCCAGAGAGGAGGTGGCTGGGACTTGGGGAGCTAAGGGTCTGGAACAGGAAGGGCTGGTGTGTGACCCAGCTTCCAGACAATGGAGGGGTCTCTTACATAGCTCCAGACCCTTGGTTCAGGCACCAGCTTCCTGGCCACAGAGGGGTGGCCTGCCATGCAAGGTAGCTCACGGGGACTAGCAGGTGGCAGAATGGCTATGTCACTGGGTTCATATGTGGCCATCCGTGGTTCGAGTCCCAGACCCGGTGGCTTAAATTCACACTGGGCACATGTGCGTGCATACCCCAGATCCCGAGAGGAGAATGGAGGAGAAGGGATTGCGGTGTGGCCATCCCCCCTGGGGGGTGATTTCTCGCTTTCTGTCTCTCTGTCTCTCTGGTGAATGCATGTGCCCTATAGCAAAAACCTCTCCAAAAAAAAAAAAAAAAAAATGAATCAATGAAAAAAAACA